TGTCATCTTGTCAACTCCAGCAGATCTATACAACTATTTCTGATTCGTGTTGTATTTTTGTACTAACAGTTTTCATTGACTGTTGTTTGTACCCACAGTTTTCATGCTTTGTTTCAAACAGGAATCAAACATATTACCCAATACGATCTCAACTCCCATCATTAACGTCCTTGACCAAGTTGATTTATCCAACTATGCCAACTTCACATTCTCAAGATTGGTCAAAGAGGGCAGTCCTAGCCTCTGAAAAGTACTGCAAATACTGGGTTACAGGTGATCTTCTCATGGCCAAGACAGGTAACTCCGGCCCAAGTGGTAGTTGACCACCTGAGATCGCTCATGAAGTCAACCCTCATGATGGTCAGTCTACTTATGAGTGTGTGACTTATAAGGAGATTTCATCAAGAGGATCATCAAGATGAAATCACCGACAATGTTAATTTTTCTCACTGAATGTCATTTGACTTGGAATGCCTCAACTGATTGAACACTCCACTTATTGCATATTTAGACACTACAGAGTATTACAATGTTCCTAATGACAAGCTAAAAGAGAAGTACATGGATAGTAACCAAGCAATACGAGAATCAGGATAGGATACATCACCCCAATCTGGTCCCTCTAATGCAAAGATCTTGGATTTCAACCCAATCTGTCTTAACTCATTATTAGCTCAAATGGAAGAAGATCTCTCCAAATCCTATGCCATGAAAAAATCAATCAACCCAAGCAAATCTGAGAAGAACTCCCAAAAAAGACAATATTGGACTCAAAAAGCTCAAGATTGTAACTTGATAGGCTTAATGGGGCTACAAATCCAACTTCAAATGAAGTTTATTCAGAATATCATCGGTAAAGTTACGCTTTAACTCCATACATAAGAAATTTAAAAGCATTTTGAAAGAAACCCAAGGTCTAAATTTTGATCCATTTAGATTTCCTCATGGCCTTCATCCTGCGCCAGCTTATCAAGTTTTACCTCCTAGTGGTCTTTCTTTAGCTGTGGCATCAAATAATAATTTTAAATGGATCCTCAGACATCCCAGGTGAGAAAGCTATCATTCCAGGTACATCAAATCCATACTAGCTCGTTCTTGGCAAAACAGTGGATATCAACCAATGTGAATCTCTTTCATTTTCCAAAACCTGTTTCATTTATATATTTGTTGTTGTTCAATTTGAGTATCCACCTTAAAGCATCTAAAATATAAATACGTCGAATCGACTCGCATAAGTACCGTACAATCCTCTTCTGTTTTGGTCCACCTCCCATCAGGTTGGTTTTGGTGCTTTTCAAGTTTGATTTGTACTTTTCAAGTTGGGTTTGTGATTGTATGTCTACTTTTCAATCGCCAATTTTATCGCGCTTTTTCATTTGGTATTGTTCTTCTTTCTTTCAATTTCTATTGTTCTTTTTTTTGTTTTTGTAATTTCTTGAAAAGTTAAGCTATTTGTTCTTAATTTGCCTTGTTCCGATTCATCATCTTGTGTGAGGCTCTGAGCAACCTGCTATCTTTGATGGTTGCCTGTAAAAAGTCATTTTCAAAGCTGTCTGCTTTTCAGCATTTGAAAGCATCACTTCAAAAGTCGTGTCTTTGCCAAGCCTTGCATTTATTTCTTAGACCTATAAATAGGTAAGTTATTCTACTTTTTTTGATGGATAATAGTTTCCCCATCACATTTTTGTATAATGAAGAAACTTCTATAATGCAACCATCCACCTAACCCAACAAGCCATTATAAAAAACCATCATCTCATAGTAATTTCCTTGCACCATACTCTCACCTTGTGGAAAGGAAATGTACTTTCCCACATTGCCTGACAACCCCAGCTTTAGATTAACACTTTCCGAGCTTGATTGCTCTTGATGTTTTGTGATTGTTTGCATTTGATTATACATTTACAAATCCATTTTTGGTGTGACCTGCAATTCTTGGTAGCAAGCTTTGCAAAATCTGACTCCAAATGGTGTGTTTCTGCCTTGGTATACTTTTTTTTACTTTATAAGAAGGTAACATGTCACACTGACTCTCCCAACAAATTTGCCCACCTCAAAACCAATCCTATAGCTCAATATTTCACCTAATTCATCAAGTCACTGTACAGATAATTCCTTTTGTACTCTTTTTTATGCCCATTTTTTGATAACTACTTGGTAATCTTTCTTCTTCTTGGCCTATTTGTACCTGTCTTGGCTTGCTTGAATCTCACACTAAGCCTACAACCTCCAACCTTTATATATCTCCTTTGACTGGGCTTGCCTTGTGATAATAGGAATCTTTGTGAACAACATTCCTTTTGCATCCAACTGTTGCGCCAAATGTGGTCTGCAAGCTTATACCACCTGGTTGTCTACAATGACTTCAAAGTGTGCTCTAGGTGACAGTGTCCATCTTTGTCTCTTGAAAGATGTGGACAATCGTGGCCAGAGCTACGTAAGTGGGTGGTACAAAGTGCTTCTTTTTGCAAATGTAAATTTCTGTAGGTAAATTCAGAAACAGTCTAGCTGTGGCGGGCATGCCCGCATGTTCTCTAGTAGCCAAAATGCAGGGAATCAGTATGTACTCAAATTATTGATCCAACAAAACAACTAGAAAATTAGCAAAAGATCATTCATATGAGTAGACCATTTCTTCACACATTCAGAATTGATCTTTTGTTCAAATGTGCAGGATTTTGTTTTTAATAATGTTGTTCAGATTATGGCCAACATACCTTTGTTTCTTTGCATCTCTAATTGTTTTGTGGACTTGTGCACAGTTTTGGCTTCAAACCTCTCTTGCCTTGAAAGATGATTTTGCCACTTTTTCTGTCTGGTTTGTATGGCTTTTTAGTTTCTGTTTGTGACTCGCAAAAAATGATGTTTGCTTGCTTTTAAGCATGTTAGACTTTGTTTGTGCCACTTGTTGTTTTTCTTTATATATATCATCTTGCAACACCTCCTTGCACAGTATGCTGTGTCCTTCCATTTTAAAAGCTTTGTTGGAGACTCTTCTTGCTCATTCTAATGCAGAAGTGTTAGATATGGTAGAGGTTGTCTGCAATCAACTTACTGTCCCGCTTTGCTCAATACGTACAGCTTGTTTGTCAAAATGTGGCATTTATTCTGGGTGAGAGCGGCGCCCGCCGCCCCCAAATGGCTAGTTACAGGTCAAAGTCAAATATGTCAAGTAAATAATAGGTTCGATTTTGGGGTTCAAAGTCAAAGGAGAAAACGAGAGAAGTATCAGTAGAAGGAAAGTCTAGAGGGTCTTACTTAGCAAGATAAAGATCCAGGATCGAAATTGAAATTGAAGTTAAACTGAGCTAGAGGAGGAAGAAACAAGATATAGAAGAGTTGAGCTATCAGAGGCTGGAATCGAATTGATTAGAGTCGCATCTCTGAAGAGATTGGGATAAGACTTAGTTCATACCTTCACCAAACATCAGAATTGAAATTAGATACTAATAGGAAGTTCGATTTTTGAGGTTGATGTCCAAAGCTAAACTAGATTAAGATCAGGTCTCGAGATCAAAATTGGATAGAGTATGTTGAAGATGGTATTGATAAGAGGTTCGATTTTGGGGGACAATCCCTATAATGAGATAGTTGAAGATGGAAATCAGAGCTGGAGATCGAAATTAGATAGAAATCAGTCTTAGAAGATGAACAATGTAAGAAAACAAATAAGAGAAGAATTGAAAGGTACTTACATATTAACATGAATGATAAAACAACTTGGAGAATGATCGGTTGGAGTAAAAACAGGTTGGGGTTGAGATGTGAATGATTGGGTTGGGGTTTGGGATCGAGGAAAGGTATAAAGGGAAGGCTTGCTGAGAGGGGGAAGGGAATCATCAATCCATCAGTAGATCAATTTGTGTGTGTTCACGTGTTTTGTGTCTTTCAGTGTGTCTTGAGAGTGTGTTCTTCTTTTCTTTTAAAGTATCAGGTGTTATCGAGTGTTTTTTTTGTGTCTTGTTTGTGTTGTGTGTTTGAAGTTTAAGTCCTGAAAGTTATTAAAGGAGAGTATAATCTTTTGTCGTTAGTAGTGAACTTCTTTGATAACAGAGACAAAGAAAAGTAATCCTACCTTGAGTTTAGTTGTTATCGAGTGTTCTGTCTTATTCTGTCTTTCTTTGTTTTGCTGAGCTCGATGATTGAAGTCTAGAGTCTTATATTTTAAGGGTCTTATTTTTATTTAATTGTTATATTTTGTTACCTCAAAAATCGAAATTTGGCCCCGAGTCTGAGTAGGCTATCCTCCGGATAAAACCCCGCCGTCAATAAAACCCTTTCCCCCTCTTTACTATCATAATTACACTTTGTGTGATTTACATCAAGTTTTGCCAAACCTGCCTCTTGATCCAAGTCGAGGCCAGGTTGAGTCAGGTTTGGGAATTTATTCCAGTCCTGTACAGCTGTGTTACACAAGCGTAACATTCAACAATCAACCGCAGTTCACATATCCTTGCATTACCACCTTGTGTACACCACAAGTCCAACTTAAGTTGACCAACCGGTACTGCGGGGTTGTAATCACACACGGGTTTTTGACGGCTGATATACAGCTGAGAGACCACCATTTTAACCGGCACTTTGCCGGAAATCAGAACACCACCAGTCAACCACTTCCTATTCGGTAATTCATCCAATTTGACAAATCTCAGCTGACGTTTTCTTTCCTTTCCTGGGTTTCAACCGATTTCCCTCACTTCGTCTCAGATCCCCAGTCCTTTTTCGATTCTTAATCAGAAATTATTGAAAGTCAAAACTTTCAAATTCTCACTGCTCAGACACCCAAATCTTTTTGTTTTCCCTTCAATCCATCGAACAACGGTCCTGAACAATCAACACACATTGCTTCGATTGCTGGCGTTTTATCTTGCTTCAATCAATCAGAGACGTTCCCAAACAATCATCACAAGTGACTTTTAATTCCTTCAAGACACTTCTCGAAATCTCACCCAAAACCGTCACCTTCTTGGCCTTTCAAATCAATCTCTTTCCCACACTCGATGGACCCATCTCCTGAATGTGAACATTTTAACGTCTTCTGACTATCCTCAATCCATAAGCTGATTCAATAACTCAATTCCAAGGCATTGTTGAGCTGGAGGCTGCCTTCTTCAGTTGCCTGGCTTGTCCTAACAGCCGATTGATGCAATCAAATTCTGTTGCAAAGCACATCAAAACATCAAGCCATCAGAAACACTTGTCTCAATGGATCTCCGAGCGGAAGGCCACTGCTGCTGCGGCCGCTGGTCCACCTCCGAGGTCAAATTCAGGTCCTTTGCAACCAGAAATCGAAATCGAAGAAGGTTTCAATCAAGAGGACCCTGAAATCCCAGATATCGCATCAGATCAGGCTAGCTCAGAACCGGAACACCGTGACAATTCAGCACTCATTGACCTCTGGGCACAGGATCATTCAAATCTATTTCGATCTCCAGTTCACCGTGTCAATAGTATCGAGGACGAATCAATTGGTGAAGGATCCATTGAGTCGGATTCTGACGATGAAGATAATGAATCAGAAGGCAACGAAACTCATTCACAGGCCTCAGAGGACGGGGATGACTCTTCTTGGGCACCCTTTTCCAGTTTAGAGGTATTTATTAGCTCATCTTATCAACTAGATGTTTCAATTTATTCCCACTGAGTGATTCCTGCATCTATAGCAATTTGTTGGTCTGTTGATCCTAGGCTCAACACGCACAACACTCTCTCAGCTGTGCTATGAGCGCATACGCTCATTTGTCGGACTTCTCAATATCAAGCTCCCTGCATATAAGACCTTACAGAGGCTTCGCAAAAGACTTCAACGTAAATACAACATGAAGGTTTACGAGAGTTTGAGCCCATTGGACAAACCATGTTTTGGCCTTCAAGTGAAGGATATATTAAGACAGGTGAGATATGTTTTCATTCAACCTTACAAATCCAACTCGACTGATGCGATTTTGTTTATTAAGGAACTTGCTAATCCCTATGTCAGGGATTACCTTGAGGCCATTCCAGAACTTCCGAATTCATCCTCTACTATTGACCGCCTTTCTCAATCGAAGAAGTGGAGAGAACAACTTGATCCCGATATCAGAGTACAGATGATTGACAGGCCAAATGGACATTTTTACCTATTCGAACCGGTTCAACTGCGATCCAAAAGGATTATCATACCTTTATATTTTTTCCGTTCTGGATCTCATATCTTTACAAAGTGTGTGTTTGCAAAGATCCAGAAGCAAGGCAAACAAGCATCTTCAAATATTCGAATTGAATTCTCACCTGTCTCGAGTTTTGACTCTGACCGGTTATCAACAATCAATGTTGACGAATTCTGGAAATGTTTTGATCAAATAGAATTACATAAAGATTTGTTAATGAAAGATCGCTGCAAGGACATAATGTATGGTATGTGGCTTTTATTATCATGAATTATCAATTAAATTTCATTGATTAGTTTTTCATTTTGTTATGTTATGTAGCATCAGGCACTTGCGGACACTTTAGCGAAGTCCCACTTTACAATCCCTGGCGCAAAAAGGCTAATGGTAAAATAATTCGCCATGTTCCTTGGGTTTTGTACTGTGATGACCTGTCAGGGAATGTCTCGAAGCGGTGGAATAAGCATATGGCGTTCTACTGTACTTTGGCAGGACTTCCTCCGAAACTGGCAAATCAGGAATACAATTGCCATTTCCTGACAACATCAAATACTGCCGGTGCATTGGAGTTGGCCGATCCATTGATTGATGAGCTTAAGTAAGTTTTAGAGTTGAGTAAGCCTAATAAAATATTTCTGATGAGTCATACCAGCTCTCTAGGTACAGATGGTTTTGTCGCGTATGATGCAAAGATTGACGCAGAAGTTATGATTATGACATGTGTCGTATGTCATTTAGGGGATTCACCGATGCATGCAGAAGTGACTAACACCATGAATCCAACAACGTCTCTAACTCCTTGTCGTATTTGTCATCTGAAGGTCGACAAGCTGGTTGAAAAGAAATCAACACAATATGTTTGTGAATTCCTCGGTATTGATGAAGCTGGACGGAGGGTAATGTTCTCCTTGAGACCATATTGAAGTTTAATCCAACATAGATTTAATACATTTGTTTGTCTATTGTTAGTTATCTCTGCCAACACGTGAACAGTCAGAAACCATCAAAGGCACCAAGGACCTCTGGGCGCTCTCCAAACTCCCAGGATCGATTACTCTCTTCGACACTAAATCCGCTTTGTGGGGTTTGCGAGATATCCAGAACATGCCTTTTGTCAAGAGACTTCAAGACATGCATTGGGATGCGTCAGTTTCCAATGAAGAAGTGGCAGAGCTATACGACGAGCTGAACACGCAGTTTGGAGATCGATTATTTAATCCATTCCTGCGTTTAAAAGGTACGGATTTTTTCCATTTCCAAACCTTGTGATATCTCTATACTGACTTGATACCTGACTGTTTTCAGGATTTAATGGTCATTGCGACACTCCGGTCGAGGTGTTGCATGTGATGTTATTAGGGGTTGCCAAATACTTGTTACACCATCAAATGCTGTCTGCAACTGCCTCTGAAAAGAAAAATATTTGCGGTCGTTGGAGGTCTTTTGACAAATCCGGACTAAACATCCCACCCATCCAACCTAAGACAATGATCCAACACTTCCTCAGTCTTACTGGCAAAGAGTTTCGAGTGGTACTTCAATGTTCACCTTTTATTTTTTTCGAATGCTGTGATTTATCAGAAGACAAACGTGCAACATGGACCGCACTCTCTAATCTGGCACCATACATCTTCCAGACTGAGATCAACAACATGGAGGCGTACTTAGTGGAACTTGATCGACTTATTCAAATCTTTTTAAATTCAATAGTTAAACTCTCAGCTCAGTGGTGCAATAAGCCCAAATTTCACATGTTAACTCATCTCTGTGATTCTATTCAGACTTTTGGACCTGCAGTACTTTTTGGTACGGAAAACTTTGAAGGCTATAATGGAAATACAAGACACTCTTCAATAAAGTCCAATCATCTCAGTCCAAGTAAGGATATCGCAAATTCCTTCAATAACCATCGGCTTATGCGAGTAGTAACCGCAGCAAGAGTTTATGACTACAAGCAACAAACTTATTTACAAGCAAGCGAAAAAATTCAAGATATATTTTGTAATAATCGGTTATTTCAGAAAGCTTTAGGTTACAATTCGTTGTGGGATAAAGATGTGCAATTAAAAAATAGGAAGCTGAGCAAATCAATTCTCATTATGGCTTGAACAGTCTTGAATTGAACATTCTTTTGATCTAGAAATTCAAAAAATACAACCGGACAATCCACAAAATATGATCCCAACAAGGATATTCGATTCGTTTGAAGCCGAAGATTGGAAAGTTCTTGAGGATATTAAACTGAAAGATGGACAAAAGGTCTCTGCTGGTGTTTTTGTGTCAGTCGAGAACGCCCACACGGAAACTGGAAGAAGAATTGCACGTGTCAAAAGGATTTGGGGTGTTGGCGGATGCACTTTATCACACACCAAGATTGAGGCGTTTGATTGCCAATTGGGTGATGTAAATGAATTTTATACCATGCGAGAAATCCGGGAAACAAATCGGCCTGTGTGGATTAACATTACAGTTAGTATAATTTCAATTCTAAACACTAGACCTAAAGAGACTTAACAATGTGTTGGAACTCTCCAGGACGTCAAAGCAGTCTTGAACGTTCAACACAATTGCCATGCAGGTCAGTGCAGTATTCAAAAAACCCGTTCAGTCATGGTCGAACGGGGTCTATCAAAGAACTTGGATTATGAAGTTGTACATGTTCCAACGGGTGATTTCATATTGAATTCAGCCGCCTTCTATAATGCCGAACTTCACCGGGGATGGGCTCAGATTCTACACAAGGAGGTAACACCTGAAGATCGGATTTCATCTGTGAAACAAGGAATCAACAATTGGAAGCAAGCAATCAAGAAGAAAGACGAAATAAAGGAAAAGAAACGTCAAAAAGAGATTGAGAAAGTGCTAGCTGGACAAACAGGTATACCGGCTGCTAAAAAAAGGAAGATCAGAAAACCAATTGATTCACCGCACTCAGATTTGCAGACGCAGGATAACACTGATGGGCCAGTGGCTGGGCCATCATCATTCAGTTTGTGAACGGTATCTCAGATTTGTAATTATCTTTTACTTATAATTTGTACCTTCCTGCACAATAGTTTATATATTACCTCAAAAATATAACCTGTGCATGTATCTTACCACTATCTCTTACCTTTATTTGAACTGCATGTTTACTTTTTTTTTATCTTCCAAACCAATGATAACATGGATAATGTCTTTAGATCAATTCTTATTTTCATTGTTTGCCTTCCATAACAAATGACTTGTATTCTGTTGAATTAAGAATTCCTTTTTCAGTGTAGAGATTACAACATATGCTCTTCGCAAGGTTTGTTGAGTTCAAAACACCAAAAGAATAAGAGAAAAGTGAGCGGTCTTTACAAGTGTTCAAACCACGGGTGGGGGCTGGGGCAGTTATTGAGGTTTCACATCCAAATTTCACAGACTCCAGCTGATTTCACAGGTCTCCCTCTTGACCGCTCACTTCCTCTCACCTTCTCAGTCATCAATCCCTCTTGACCGTTTACTTCCTCTCACCTGCTTTCATATTCTCATATCTTCCCACTGCACTCACTTTACTTCCAGAACTATGTCTCGGGCCGCTCGATACCAACCTTATGCTCGTCCTCCCGCAAAAGCAAGTAAACAGGCCAGCCCCGAAGAAGTTCAACCGGCTTCCTGTCCAACCATGGGTCGACGTCTGAGGAGTCAAGCAGGGCAAGTTCCTCCAGCAGCCCAGAGTACTTCTTGTGTTACTCCACCACCTTCTCAAAGACCAGCTTCTGGCCGTTCGGCTCAAAAACCGTCTCGTGCAACTCCAGCTTCAACTGCCAGTCAAAAGCCTCGTACTCAATCAGTCAAGGGAAAGAAGAAGCTGCCTCCGATTAACGAAAGCCCTCCCCCTAATAGATCGTCACCACCACCACCACCACCACCCCAAACTGCCAGTCAAAAGCCTCGTACTCAATCAGTCAAGGGAAAGAAGAAGCTGCCACCTCAGAAGAAGCAACATTGTTCAACCAAGATCTTAATTAACAGTCCATCAACACACAGTGACAATGAAACTGAACACAGTGACAATGAAACTGAACACAGTGAAAACGAATCTGAACACAGTGAAAACGAATCTGAACACAGTGAAAACGGATCTGAACATTCAATTGGTGATCTTCAACAGTTCAACAGCTTTGATGATGATAATCATATCAATGAGAATAACAACGATGATTATGATGACAACTTTGATTCCAATCGGCTCAATCAAAGTAAGTAGGTGCCATTTCCTTTGCAAAGAGTTGACTGATGATTTTTATCCTTTGATTACAGATAATCATTCCGATAGCGAAGGCAGTGAAGATCCTAAGCCAAAGCCAACCGTACAGTTAGTCAATCGTATGGTTGGATGCAAATTACTGTCGTTCAATACCATCAGCAAGGTGGCACAATTGGATGAAGCAAGCACAATCCTTGCCCGGAAGCTATGCAATGTAAGTATCCTTGTTCTTCCTTTACTTGAACTAACACAACTGATATCTTTCACAGTTCAACCAAGGCAAAGACCAATTCCATGCACTTACGGCCGCTATACTGTCCGTCCGTCAAGACATGATGTCAAATTACGAGAAGATCTTTAGCAAGATTGAAGAGATCAATGAACGCATCTCAACTTCCCTTTCCTCCAGTGGAGGTGGCTGGGATGAATCATCCAAATTGAAAGCAAGTATTTCCGTTGATGTGTTCTTCTTTTCTCTTCAACCACCTCTGACACATCTTTCCTTTTGCATAGCAATGTGTCAAATCTATATCCGTACAGTGTATCATGGATGGTGATGTACAAGCGTATACTGCCACCAGTAACAAAGAAGGTGATCAGGACAACCTTCCATTATGCTTACATGCTAAGTTGATGGTGAGTTGGTGTATTTCTGATTTGAGTATATCTTCTTATTTCAACTGTTTGCTGAGAAATTTGATAGAGTGCTATTCTATCCAATCCTACCGAGTGGAAAAAACGACTTCTTCCGGCCGGTTATGCAAAAAACCCAAGTCCTAAAGCCACCAAAGCCATGCAGAAGATTTTGAGTAATGTTTTAAAGCAGACCCGAAAGGAATTTGAAACTATTGTATGTACTTTCTATTTAATTCTTGACAAATCTCTTGCTGCTGACAAACTATCCAGCTTCTCAGCGAGATTTGCCTCCCACAACGAACCAAATCTAAAGAACATACCGGGAACGTCCCAAACATTGATACCATAATTGTCAAGGTGAGTTGTTCTTGTTGATTCATCCATTGACAGTCTCACAGGCTTCAACTTACAAACTTTGAGACCAACAGCTTCACGAGAAGGAAAGAAGCCAAGTTGGTGGCCGAGTGCAAGTTCGTGAGGAGGTACTTGAAAAAGTGCCACACCTTTGCAAAAGCCGATATGCTTACCTGGTATGATTTTGTAACTTACTAATCTGTAGATGGATCTTATTCTGATCAGTGGCGTTACATTCATTAGAGAATGCAAGCAGTTCATTGGGGAGTGAAGAATTCAGAATACAATGGTAAAACCTATTGGAACGTCGTGGATCAAAAGCTAGAGTTTTTACGTGGTCAGTCAACACGATATCGATATGCGTACGTATTCTTCCTTCATACCATAGTTAGGAATTCATGTTCAATCTGTACTGAGTTGGGTTGTTTCATAGTTTCTTTGTCTTGGTCTTGTATGATGACTATGATCGCTTCAATGGCAATCGTAACTTCGAATACCTCCTAAAGAAGAAAATCGATTTTTCCTTACCATCTGACGAGCGTATTCAAGAGGAGATGGATACAATGGAACTTAAGTTTGGGAATGATATGGGCAATGATGAGGCGCTGCACAAAAATTAGGATGCGCCTGAGGAAACTAGCAATGAGTGAAAGAGGCTGTCAACATAAGTTTCATCTTTAGTTTCATATCATTATTTTTTTATGTTCGTTATCTTTTTCTCATCTATCACTTATTTTTGTAAATGCAGAGATTTTCCAGAGTATCCAACAGCATCTTTTATCGCAACAGCAATTCTTATTTTATTTGATCTCAACATAAACAAATAACAGCATGGTATTTTTTATCCTGTCTTAGTTACATGAATTATCACAGATATTTCCTCTTAGTTCCATATTTCCACTATTGTATCTCAATTCCATTTGTATTTTTCTCTTACACTATTGATATATATATAGCAAGTAGACTTATCATGTGCAATCCAATTCGTGTTATACTTCTTAATAACATTTTGTGAATCACTGGAGATAGTATATGTGAGATCTGAGGCCAGATTCTGTAATCAAAAAAATGCCTGGCCCCACTTTTCATCTGACAAACGGAAAAAAAACTGGTTAAAAGCCGGATTTGAACCGCATGTGCAAGCAACGTTTTTGAAACGACGGGCTGGAGGCGTTTGAGAAACGTTTGGCACCAACCAAAGAAAATTGGTTTTTTAACTGAATTGCAACCCCGGTTAAAAAACGGTTTCGATGGGTTCGTGGTGTAGGGTGGTGTGTAGTATTGTTAGACTCCGCCAAACGCTGCGCATCCAACCGTGTGGTGTAAAATAGGTTTCGGGAGACCTTAAAAAGACAAAGAGTGAAAAGTAGAGAAGCCTCATCTTACAACTCGAAATCATTTTTGAAGGACGAGGGCAGCTTCACAGCGCCTGTAGTTTCACCCGCTCTCTCAAGTGGTGATTCTTCCCCTCTCCGGCTCAGCCTACGCTACACTGCGTAGGAGTTCTACAACGGTCTTAACACAACTGAAAGCAATCTTAATGAACTCAACCAATACATTCAAGGCATTTATCCAATGAAAACTTTCAATGTCAATAATCCACAGCATGTGTTGGATTGGTGGAAGGTATGTCATGATTTGTATGATCTTTCACTCCAATTTTACCTTGCTGATCTTCATATCTTTATCTATAGGCTCATGAAGGTATATACCCTGTGCTATCTGTCTTAGCTTGCAACTACCTTGCGACTCCAGCGGCATAAAGTGCTCCTGAGCGCTCTTTCTCTATTGCTGGTCGAATTTGTACCAACAAGCGAGGAGGTTTAAAGCCAAGAATGACTGAGATGTTAGTGAGTAGCACTTTATGGATGGGGGAAGGGATCCCTCTAACCAGGCCTTTTGCTGAGGTGGGCAAGGTCAGAGAGTTTGTGAAGAAAGCCATCTCAAAGAAAACCCGCCAAACTCGTGTTTGATGAGTTTTTTTATCAAATATTATTTTTTCTATTCTTTTACTTTCTTTACACTTGTTTATGATGTTTCTTGATCTTTTCTTTACCCTTGTTTACACTGTTTTTTCTATCTCCTTTATGTGTTTATCACCTTAAAAAGTCAATAAATAAAAGTTTTTTTTTTGGCAGGTAATGCTGAGTAGCGCAGCAGAAATGCCCTACCACTGCGTCCACCACCTCCCTTCTTGACGTCGAGAAGGGTAGAATGTCTTGATTTGGTTCAACTTTATTCCAACTTTATTGCGGGTTAGTTCCACTACTGAGTATCCCACTCAGCATAGACTGAGAGATGCATGAGTGATCGATCAGAAGCCATTGAGCCTCAGGGAATTCCTCAGACGTTAGATTCACAGCCTCAGGATATTTCTTAGAACTTCAGACTCCCTCATATGTTTCCTTTATGTCATTCTATTATGACCCAACCCTTTTGACCAACACACGAACTCAATTTCAAGTTCATCAACTTGATTCATCACCGTCACCCAAAAAATCCTCCATGAAATCAAATCGATTGAAAAAATACCTAAACCACCTGATCATGCTTTCATAGGCTTTCATACTTTGTTCCATTTAAACAACCGTATGAATGCTCAACGAAGTTAGCTCAGATTACATTGAATCATTCGCATCAGTTCAAATTCACATGGACAACTTGGCTCAGGACATATAGAAGACTTACAAGAATTTACTTCAATTGAACAATGGTCAACTTCAACTGAAATCCTCAGTTTTGCAGCAGGAGCTCGTCATTTGATTTTCTTAATTCGAAATCAAATTGATGAATTCCCAAAACTACTTGAATCAGGAGATAGAACCAATCATCAACTTCCAATTAATTCTGATGAGAAAAATGAAACACGCTTTACGGAGATTAACTATCAAAACTTGATCTCATCAATTTAGTCAGTCAATCCCGAACTTGGGTAAAAACCCCTTAATTCTTATCAGCCTATGATTGTTGGATCAAGTTGGGAAACTAGTTTTATCAGTCTTGATCCTATTCAAGATCAATGTCCTGGAAATTATTTGAGCGTCCTCATCTCATTTGGTTCAAATGATTTCGGTTTACAAGGAACTCAAAATGGCCCTGTCTCTAGGCTTGAAGATCCTAGCATTGTCAAATTTGATGTCCCTCCTTGATCCGCGTTCACGATTTCAAGTGGTGGACCTCAACATGTCATTGCGGCTGTTTTCATACGCTCTTTCGACTCAAATGCAAGCTCTGTACAAATAATTGACTGGGGTGCAGCTCGGCACGGTCAATTGGGCTCCTTGAATTCGGGGCCAAAGCCTTCTAAGACACAACCACCCACCCGTATTGATTTTCCATTTAAATTGCCTCAAGATCCAGATTCGATCGAATGGTGTTGGTAAAGAACATACCGTGATTGTCTGTCCGCGTCATATGTATTATGTACTCACTTTGTAGTAAGAAATATTCACAAAACTGGACCAATAGTGAATCAGAAGATCAGATACTTGAAGTCCAGTGTTGTTGAAATACCACTTTCTTTTTGAAACAACCTGCGATCAAAATCCATCCGCCGTCTTCATGTGTACTCTTAGGCTTTGGTAATAACCCTCAATCTCAACTTGCTTCTCTTGGATCAAAGATCTCAGCTTCATAAAATCGATTAAATGGATCGCCGAGTTTGATAACACTAGCAGTCGGCTCTGAACATGTAATGGTTTTGGATTGGTCTGATCTTATTTATGGATGGGGATGGAATGGACATAGTAATCTAGGTATATCATCACTTATGAATGATTTGAAACTTATCAAGCCACATGATGTGATCTGGAGAGCTTCAAAGAATCAAAAACTTGCAAATATCTTTGCAGGATGTGCTCCTAGCTTTATATGCGTCCAAACATCTTCATAACAAAGTTTTACCTACTTATGTGGCTTGTACCTTTTCTGGAGATTAGATTTGATGACACGTAGGTATGAATTGTTTGCTATCACAATCTGCTCTATAATTGTGAAATTCAATACATTTGGAATGTACAATGTGAAACAGCATGCAGGATTCTTACAATATTAATTGATGAGGTTGTAACAACTACTATACGCATAGGAGCGACAAGTTTCTGTGATCTGATGTCATATCACTTACATGATAGGATTTATGTTTCCTAATAACCATCCTGATAGAAACACTGCAAAAGCTGTACTATACATCTTGAAATCAAGGTTCATCAAGTTAAATTCAGGTTTGATAGCCTGACTTGATGAGATATTAGGAGTAATGATATTAACAATTGAGTTGGTGAATGATGCACCAGAAGAACCAAATCAAAATCTTTGAAAGTAACCCGTCTTGGGACTATTGCTTAAAGGCGAAAGAGGTGTCCCACTTGATTCAGATGAAGAATCACTATGAATGACTGTTGTACGTTTAATTGAAAAGTCCAGATCGCCCTTCCGTTGTAAACTGGCAAAGATATCTGTGATGTTTGCTGAATCAGCACAAGCGACTAATTATTTCTGAATGGCTTCTTTCGAAGTCACGTCTACTATCTCAGGCTCGGAAGTCTCTTTCAAGTTACTTTCTGTCTGAAGCTGCATTTCTTCCATCTTGGGTCGATAAACAGGTGGGGGTTCTGCAATGGGATCTGTTTGTGTTTGTCTCAAATTGGAGCTGATTAGGTCGCTGGTGTCTACATTGGCATCTGCGACTTCTACTTCTTCTTCAAATGTCAATGTCTACGACTCGTCATTGGATCATCCTGATGGTACATCTGTTGGCTGATGTACCATGCAACAAGAAAAGTATTGATCAGCATGTGGACTAAGTAAACAGGTTTACATGAAACTCACTTTAAGAGACCGTCGTTTGCTTCTCTTGATACGAATCTCTTCATACACTTTGTTGCCAGATGAGGTTGTAATGACTACTATAAGCATAAGAGCGACAAGTTTCTGTGGTCTGATGTCATATCACTTGACATGATAGGGTTTGCGTTAGGTAGGTGATCACCCTGTGCGCTACGTTTAGAGTCAAAGTCTAGAGGCAAGCAGAAATGACAAAAGAGGTGACAAACATATATCAGAAAACTAGAAAACTGCTAATAAAGTATACCAGAATGATTGGATGATTTACCTTGAGGATCTTGACTAGCCACTGGATCTCTACCAGCAGATCCACCTTCAGTTGGTTGACTTAATTCATGTCTTTCTTTGTTCTTTGATAATCTTTCTGATTCTTTTTGTGAAATGAAGATTGTGAGATGAAGGAAGGGACGGCGTAATTGTGTCATGGTGCCAAATCGTGTGAAGCATAAATTATGCCTAGTCCAGGAACTTCACAGGATCTCATCGTCCAACAATAAGCTCACAATATCTATAAGACAGTCATCAATACCAAGATACAACTTGGGTTCTTTGTGGAAAACTGAACTGCTTACAAGTCTATATGTGAAGATGATCTAGACCAGGGCGGTCGGTTGTTGTTATGCCTTTGATATCACCTTCCTATAGATCTCCTCTATGTATACACTGCCAGGATTAAACAGTGTCCCTAATGGAATAATGATCACTCTTGCATTAATTGCTCAGCATTTATATGGCAAAAATTAATTATCCCAAAAAAAGCAACACATTATCCCAATTAGGACAGTGTTTAATCCTGGCAGTGATATGGTATAAATCCTCATAAGGCGCAACGGTGAATGCACAAAAGCATTTGTCTTCTTCTGCTCGTCCTTCCTAATAAGATCATCATATGTACAAGAAGAATTTGTCAAGCT